TCGACGCGAGCTTTTCCAATCGGGCTACCGATCAAGACTCAATAGGGTAGAAGCTATAAATGTCCGGAACGGCCGCTCATCCACCCTTCCATTTCCTCTCTTTCTTCTCGTCTCCTTCCTCCTTCCCCCTCTCTCTCTCTCTCTTTTTCTATCACGTGAAATGAACTACCCTATTAACCGCGCTATATAACCCATTGGCCAGGGAATGATGATGTTTTCGTGGTCGTATCGTTCGCCATTACGGATATTTAAAGGATTTTACGAAGATAGACGCCGCAAAATAACGCTCGATCGATAAAGTTTTCGAAGAAGAAATCACTTTAAATCTCTCGAAAGAATCCAGTCGATTGATCTTAATCGTATTTCAAGTAAGCCGAAACTACGTTGTCGCTCATTTTTTTTATATCGACCAAGTTCTTCTCCCCTTCGTGGTCTCGAAAGAAAACTTATTCGGTCCAAGGAGGAACGGTGTTGAATAAAAATTAGAGAGTACTCTAGTTTTAAGGATGGTCGAAGGGACAGGAAGAAGAAGGAGGTAAAGTGGAAGGATCCACGAAGACAAAAATCCTAAGGATAAACGGAGGTAAGTGAGATTCGAGTTGGTGAGCGCGCACACAATAACGGCCTAATCTTGAATAAGGAAGAAGAGTTGGTCCGTTCCATGGGTGGGAAAGCAGGTGGAATTGCGAGTTTCAGAGCCGGCGGACATAGTGAAACACTCAAATGGATACGGACGGAGAGAAGCCTCCCGAGGATAAAGGCGTATATCGTTTCCTGGGCAGGAAGGATTGTATCTTTTCCAGTCCCTTCTCCTCTCGAATAATACAGGAAGTAATAATTTCCCCGTCGGTCTCACCCAACCCCTTTCATTCCATTCACGAACACCGCCTCCCTCCAACCGGATTACATATTAGAATTATTATTCGACACGATCAACTTTACGCCATTTCAGACGAACGTGACGCGGATATCTGCGGGAGATGACGATTTATCCGACCGTTCTTGGCGATGTGTGTTTTTCAGAAAACAGAGTACAACGTCGACGAGTTGTAATTTTGTTAATTATCTCTTCTTTGTTCATTTTTCTGACAAATTTCTTTTATTCTCTTTCTTTCGATTAAATTAAATCGAAAATTGAATTATCTTTAAACGTTCAAAGATACACGAAGACAAAAATCCTATAGGATAAGTATTTTGGAATCTTTGTTTTGTTATCTAGCGTTATTGTGTCTTATTTTCAGGTGGGGGGATGTTTTCGTTTGGGTAACGATATCGTCATACCCGATTATTTCGTGTCCAGATGATTTATCTTTTCTAACGAACGTTTCTTTTTAAAAAGAGGGAAATTGGAAGTTAGACGATCCGGAATCGCTCACCTGTAATTACCCAACTCCATGGTTGGTCGTTTAGAGGGAAACCCGAGGAGTTAGAAGCATTTGAACTGGAGTTTTGGTCGGGGAACAAAAGGGATGGTAGGTGTGTTTCTCAGGCTGCGCGCAGCTTGCCAACTGGCTTTGATACATTAGCAAGCGATAATCCTATCAACTCGCAAAGCCAGGATGATACCAACTGGATCCAACCAGGAAATACGTGGTCTGGCTCCGAGCTGTATCGTATTTCTTCCGCGGATATGTTGCAAAATGCATATATCAGAGTATCGCGTTCAGAGCGCGCGTTCGAACGATGATCACGCGTTGAAACGCGTTTTTTCTTTATCTTCACCTCGTCTTCGAGATATGCTTCTCCAACGTATCCAAAGTAAAAAGGAATATTTCAGGAGCAAAGAAAGTTACTTCGAAACTTTCCTTCCGTTTGTTCTTTCAATTTTTTTTCCTTTTCTTTCTTTCTTTTTTTTTTTTTCTTTTTCTTCCGAAAGACACCCTCCATACTTTGCATTTATTCGTATAAAAAGGGAAATATTCCGGAACAAGGGAAGAAGTTTCTTTCCCTCCCCCTCGAAAATGAAAATTCGTGTGTACGTTTCCAATGAACCGTGCTCGTGCTATATTCTTTGAATAAAATATTTGAAAAGATTATCATTCGAATTGTACCATTGATTCGTTCGATCGAAAGTTCGAAGTTTAATGATAAAAGAAATAATAATAAAGTTGAAACAATTCTCTTTAAATATTTTATTTATTCATTTCGAAGAGAAAAATCCATCCATCGAGGTATACATCCGTGCATTTCCGTATAAATACAGGTATATCGTGGGTTTCGCATTTCCAACCATCCCTTTCTCGTACAACGAACAATCGGGATAATATAAACGCGAAACTTCTCCCTTTTTCGATTAATACACGAGGCCATACGTGTTTTTCAAACACAGTGTACACAGATTCGCGAATTTCGCCCGGGGTTCCGTCCAATGAAATTCCATTCTAGAATTTCAATACGGGGCCGCGTATATCGTAGCTCAACTTTGAAAACGCCTCGAGCGTTGTCCGGTATTACTTTGAGGATTCGACTTTCTCTCTTTCCTCTTTATACCTACCCCCCTCCCCTCGGAAGCTGACTTTGCGGACCGATTATAGAGAGGATGGTGGTACGTAAGCACCACCACGGGGAGACCTTGATCGATCCTTTTGTGGAAATAAAATCTGACCTGGAGAGGAAAATCCTTTAGCTTTAGGGAATAAATGATCGAAATGGGGGATGGGTAAAGCGTTTGATGACATGGGTGTGCGTTTTCGTGATTCGGGCTGCGTTTTCGTTTCGACCGCGTTTCAAATTCCATCTGGTTGCTTTTCTTCACTTTTTTCCATTGTCCAAGGATAAAGGGAATCACTTTTTTTTTTTTGATCCTCGAACGCGTGAATTTTGATCGAGGAAAAAAAAGAACGTAATTGCAATTCGTGTCGAGAAGTTGAACGGTTTGGTTTGAATATTGTTGGAAAAGTGTTTATTGGATTTGCATTAGTTAATAGGATTTATGTTTTCAGGTATTTAAGAGATGTATTGTAATTCAAATTCAAGTATTTAAAAATATGGAAGATATGTAATACGAAATGGAATGGAACATTTTCCAAATATGTGTATTTATACGTGTAACTGAGGAAAACTCGAGCAAAATGATCAATCCTATGTATATGGCTCAGTCCTGATGGGGAAATAGAAGAATGCATTCATCTTCTTCGCTCAACAATTTCTCCTCTTTTTCCAACGTATGTAATTCTATTTAAAATTTGTAGAAATATTTATAAATATTGTGAAAAAAAATTCAATGGATCTGTCAGTTTACGAGTAATTTGGCAAAGATGAAACTGGTTTATCATTGATAGCAGATTACCGTGGTCCTTTTTTCGGATCTTTGAAAGCCGGTGAAAGAGTTGAATAAGGAACGTAGCTTCGACGGACTTTGCGTGTTAATAATTAATCAAGACGGTGGTAAAGAGAGGCCGTTGACGAAATCTTGCAAGAATTAACGCGAGTAACGAACCGGAAAATTGAAAGGGGGAGGGGCGGGAATATCGAGTCGAAGCGCGGACGAAATCGAAGGAAAGGAAAGGAGAGAGGCGAATGGAAGCGTGGAACGAATCCAATTATAAAATATTATCTGTCGCGACTAATTACGAGTGACTGGCATTCGATAATCTGCTTTCTCGTAGCCGGCGTAATGAAACGTATTAAACATGTTGCGCATTAACGTGATTACCTTGCTACCTCGTTAATTAACGCTGCCTCGATTTCCATCGAGGAGCATTCTTTCCAGGTGTCGCGGAAATAAAACGGAAGGGGGAACGTTGAGGTCGAGAAAGAGGTTCGAGATCGAATTGCATTATCAATCGTAAATACCAATTTTTCATTTTGAGCGGTGATATTTTTTATACTATTTTTTTTTTTTTTTTTATAACTGCAAACTGAATTGTTTTCGCTCGAGTATAATTTTTTTACCGTTGTAAATTTTGAAAACAATTTCTGTTTTAATTCCAGAGCGGGTTCTAGCGTTCTAAATTTTACAAGAATGTGAAAACATTTTGCAAAATCTGTAAATTGTAATATGGAACAAATGGAATATTTCTTCGATGAAAAATTAAACGCTTGAAACATCGAAATAACTTTATTGCGTTGTTTAAATATTTAATTTATTTAAAGTAATCAACATTGAAAATGGGAGGCAAAAATTGGTGGATAAAAACATGGCGGATAGAATAATCCGAATGATGGTTCGTTTGCCACACGCCATGACAATTCCGCAACTCGATGGGGAACGGAATATAGGGACGGAAAGTTTGTACGAGAGAAGTTTCGTGAATTTGGGTGATTAATCGGTAATGGTGGTCGAGCGATAGTTACGTTATGCGTTTCTGCGGTGCGGATCTTTCGGTTCGGTATCATACGATCGCGAATGGTTCTCTTTATTTTACTACTCGACTTCTGCGCGATATAACCTTTTAGAAGCTGAAACTGCATTTTTGTGAATAGCTACTATCTGAAATTTTTGCGATTTCATTCTTTCGAATGGCAAAAATTTCAAGCAGTTTCATCGATTTCAAATATTCCCTTTCCCCTCTCTCCCCTATATTGCTTGCTAAAGGATATTATTTTGACTAGAATGGGTTGGTTTATGGTGAACTTTTTCCAAGTTATTCGAAAATTTCTGACAAAAGTTATCGATATTTAATACAAGTTTCAAAATATCCAGAATTTTCTTACGATATATTTAACCATTACTCCCAATTCTTTCATTACCTCCACTTCAAAACTTTTCAAAATGCGTTATCAACTAAAAAAAAAAAAAAAAAAAAAAAAAAATAACAAAAATTTAATATTTCTCGTAACCTATAATAATACCAATCCTTTTCCAAACAAATCGGTGAAGTAAAAATCCTCGCCTCGCCCTTCACCCCTATAATCCGCAAATCCCTTGGGAAAATTCGATTTTTCCAGATCCTGGGCCAATTTCCGAAAATCGGTATAATCCAGCGCAAACGGGAACTGCAAATAACTGGAAATAAAGAGCGCGAGTGTGCATAACGGGGGCCGTTGTTTGATTTCAGTGTGCCAGTTGCTGCGAAGCGGGGTGGCGGCGATTTTTGGGCCGCAGAGCGCGCACACCGCCTCCCACGTGCAAAGCATTTGCGACACCATGGAGATTCCGCATCTGGAGACACGTTGGGACTACCGGCTCAGACGGCAGAGCTGTCTCGTCAACCTCTACCCGCACCCCACCACCCTCTCCAAGGTACGTACATCGAATAATACCCTCATCAGGCCGTCACGGAGATCCTCGACGAGAAATCCACCCTCCCCTTTTCTACGTTTCTCGTCGAGTTGTCGCGCGATGCGAGAGAAACGCGGTCGAGTTTTGATTCGAGTTTCACAAATTGCGTTAATTCTGCGTGTTCTCGCGAGTAGATTTTGTTTCGAGTCTTGTTCGATGAGTTCGTTTTGTTTGGTCTATAAATTTTTGTTTTACGATTACTCGTATTTACGTATAGTTTCGTATAGTTTTGGAATTTGCAAAACTCATCGAAGATGAAGAAAAGAGACAAGGAGAGAAAGAAAGAATTTTTGAGAACGGATGGTAGTAGTCTCGTAGTTACGTCGTGTCGATGCAAATGCGAGTTGACAGCAAGTTGGAAGAAAAGAAGAAGTTTCCAAATTTCTCTTAATAAACGGAAAGTTTGGAAACGGAAAGTTGGCGAAAGCGACGCCGTATTCTCGGCTTAACGAGACTTACCCGTCTCGTCCGCGTACGAAATCTTGGAAAGATCCTAAGTCTAAATTTTCCACTCGCAAATATTCCCGCCACGTGGTATTTTTCTCCTTGATTTCATCGCTGTTCCATTTATTGTCTCTTCCATACTCTCGAACCGAGAGTATCTCCCTCCTCGCGATGTCTTTCCAGTCATCGAATATTCCAAGTTCGAAGCTTTATTTTCTTGGTGGATGTAAGAGGTTGTCGAAGATATTAAGGGAAAGTTGTAAGTTGAACGTGGATGGAAACATTTCGAGTTTCCGCGAAAACAAGCAACGCGTGCGACGTTAAGACTTTGGAAACCGGTTTATGGACGAGACGTGACTTCGTCCTTGCTTTCCAGTTTTCCGCGTCTTGAAAGAAACTTTCTTATCAGAAAATCTGACTTCTAATTAAAATTCAAAGATTTTTCTCGTTTTTCGACGCGTTATATATAAATTATTATCAAGATGCTCGTCGAAAAGTTTTCGTTTTTGATTCATTGATTCCTTTCCTCGAATCACGATCCCGTTTTTTCGGGCAAAAGAGCGAAAAGCAACTCGCGCAATCTTTCTCTTTTCTTACTTCAATGATCGAGCGTAATCTTATTTTATTTGTTCCGCGCAAAGTTGTATTCGAAAGAAATATTTGGAACCGCGCAACGAATAAGAGAGAGAGAAATCTTTTAACTCTGGAGAAAGCGCATTTCAGTCTTTATGATGGCTTACAACGATGCTATCCGATGCTAAGCTTCGCAGCTTAAGATCCTTTCTCCTACTCCGCCTCCATCTGATGTACAAATATATTCCACTTCTCTGTCAAACCATCGTACGATGTTATTACGATACAAATAATACTAGAATATTATCACCAGTTCTCTCTTTTTTTCTTCTTCTTCCTTTTTTCCACCAACATCCATAGAATATTTTCGCTCCAATTCGATCTCTTTATGAGCAACGATATTTCAATCGACTCTCGTATCATTGTTTTAAGTTCGAAAAGCCGAGGTTCGTTTCAACGAGAACAAGTGGAACGCAAACAGAATTAATACGACGGCTTGAATAAAACGGTGATCGTTTTAATGTAAACGATACGATAGAAAGGACGTTCTCCTCTCTCTCTCTTTCTCCCTGTTATTTCTCTGTTTTCTCTCTTTTTTCTCTTTTTTTTCCTCTCTCTCTTTCTCTCTATAGTTATGCATTTTCTACCGCTAGTCGAAACCAGAAATACACCCGCTCGCGGATATAAATCTCCAGGCGAAACACGGGGAAGCTGAACATTGACATTGCTTTACCGTGAAAACCGAAAACAGGATGTTTTAAATTTTGAAACATGGGTTAAAACGAATATTCGTGGAACAAAAAGCGAGTAATAACGAGAGCTTAACGTTAACTGTTGCGGTAACGATGGTCCGTGCCGATCGTGATTGTGGAAATTAACGCGATATTTCGATAAAATATATCCTGTCTCGTAGAGAAATATTTATTCTCTTTCGCTACTACCCTCATCGTGCCGTTTATCCTCGCGTTTGTAACGTTTTATGCGATCACCGTATTTCGTGCTCGTAGACGTTGTTACCTTTTTTTTTCCCCCCTCCCTCATCTAAAGATAGAATATTATATGCAATCAAAGACGAATTTATTGCAAATGTTTGTAAGAAAAATTGAAGAAAACTCGTTATTTCAAGTTCTCCTGATTTTCTTCAGTTAAAATTTCGAGGAATAATTCGCTGCTTGCGAAGTCGATGCAGTAGTAGAATGTAGTAAAACTTTTTGTGACGAGTGAGTAAATGTACAATCATAAACCGTTGGAGAGAGGAGGGAATAAAATTGAAATCCAATATTTTTTAAATCAAACGTTGCTCGAAAATTAAAAAAAAAAAGAAAGAAAGAACGGCTTAATTATTTTTCCTTCTATATATATATATATATATATATATATTGTCTTGTGATAAACTCGTTTTCGAGAGGATGATTGCAGGGAAAATATAGAGAAAAAGGGCGAACAGCAGAGCATTGTTCCACGGTCAATCAACTTTCTCCTATCCGACTTTGTACTTCCACAAAGTGTTCCATGGTAAAAAGGGAAAAATTTCTAATCTGCCACGCTGCGCCTCGATTTTCGATAGTGAACCAATAAATGATGATTTCCGGTTGCGTGGTCCGACTTTGAAGAACAAAGATCAAAGAGAGCGATGTCACGGCACAAAGAGCGCACAAATTACTGCGTTACAGTAAGAATTTCAATTATAGCCTAAACGCATCGCGCGACGAAATTGAATTCTGGCCGTGCGTTAGACATCAGCGTGAACAACGCGCGCAACGACACCGCGAATTCTTTGAATTGCCCGGACGACGAAACGCTTCCCGGTTTAACCGGAACAACGTTTAAGAAATATTTCGATCTCTTTTGATCAATTTTTCAATTTCCAGTCTCGAAATCGTGGAGAAATTTATTCGAGAGCGAGGATATTTATGCGTTGTTCGCAGCATTGTCGGACCCGAGCCATTTTGCATTCCCTTTCTGATGAGTACTTGTGTGTTATTCGTCTCGCGCCAATGTTTCATTGCCCCTTTTGGTACTTGTATCTTTTCTATTTTTTTTTTTTTTTTGAAACAGTACAACTGAAAAAATTCTCGTACGACGATTGTTTTTATATTTACGATTAAAGGATTGTGAGAGGGAAATGAAGTGGAAATATGGAAAGGAGTTTATAAAAGATTCGAGAAATAATAATACAAAGAATGAGTGAATCTTTCGAAACTTGGCCACGATGAAAGCGATTCTTTGCATGAAGGAATTCCATTAAAAGAAGAAAAATTCTGCAATATATATATCTTCTTTTAAATATTTTTCTACACCTCGTTGATAAGTGGATTTACGTATTCCAAATCAATTCCAAATGAAAGCCGGGAGAGCGCGTAGTTGGATCGATCGATGATTAAAATTTCCAAGATTAAAACTCCCGGAAACGTGACGTCGATGGATTTCAACTCCCTGGGTTGGTTGCCGGCTCCTCGACTATTTATGAAAATCGTATCCGCCGTAAGTCCTTCGTTTACGTTGGAAACACGGCTCTCCCTTGACTCGAGAAAAGAAACAGGCTCGCGATAAAAAACGAGTACCAGGAATCGAATAAGAGAGAAAGAGAGAGAGAGAGAGTTTATTCGTAGCCGGTCCTCGGCCAGATTTTTTGCGTTTTTGGTCGGCGGCCTCGCAAGTTTACAAGAGGGAAGAGAGAAGTGGCTCTTCGTAGGATGTTGGCGGTGTTTTCAACCAAGGTGATTCCTTTGACCGTGTTTTCTCAGTCGATGCTTCCCCTCCCTCCCTCGTTCCTTCCTTCCTTCCTTCCTCCCTTCCTTCCTTCCTTCCTTCCTTCCTTTCTTTCTTCCTTCCTGGAGCTTGCAACAGAAATATAAAATTCAACGGGGAGAAAGTAGCTCCCCGTGATTACGTGGAGGATGTTGTTGAGGCCCTCCCCAGAAACATCCCTCCATTTCGACCGTCGAAATGTTTTTCACTCGGGGAGGGGGAGGAGGGGGGGGGGGGAAGAAGCACTTGGAGAAATCGAAATGATCGAAGGTAACGCGATATTCTGGAGTGGAGTGAAGACGTTGAAAGAAACCGCTACCCGCCTTTAATTCCAAAAGAACCTCGCCCTTTCAACGTAATTCCAATCACTTTTTTTCCCCCTTAAGATGTTAGGCGGGGGTGGAGGGGGAGTAGAGGAGGAGAAGTAGTTGGTTTCGAGTTGGTGGAAAAGCGCTACGGTTGATGGAAAGTGGGATAGTAAAGAAGTTCTTGCGCTCATTTGACGGAATATTTGCGGACGGAATTGAGAACGGTAATGCGGTTTAAAGGGGGAAGGAGGAGGGGGGGGGATGTGATGTTCGATAAAAGTTAATCTTAGAAGAGGGCCATTCTCTTTTAGGAGATAGGTAAAAAGATAATGCACCACCGGAGACCACAATTTGCATTTCGACGACAGACGGTTTCAAACAACGGATCGCTTGTTTGTCGCCTTCTTCCTCCCTCTCCCTCTCTCTTTCTCCCTTTCTTTCTGAAAACCTTTCTGAAGTTTGAAACCTCTTTGCTAGTGATTTTCGCTTTCGTTGTTCCACGGTAGCGGATAAGGATTTAGGAGACAAACGTCTGACGGACTTAATTGAAATTTCTTCGAAAACAAGATCGAATTATACGAAATTTCCTTGGCAATACGATACGAACACCCTTTATTTCCTTCGCTTTGAATCGCATCCCGTTTTTAATTTGCAATCTCACGAGTTCATTTTGATCGATATTACTCGAATTTCTCGTATCGATGGAATCTGAATTGAGATTGCTGAGAACGCGTGGAAGAGAAGAGCGTTTAAGAATTTGAACGGAGAAGATCGAGAAGAATATAAAAAAAGGAAGAAAGAAAAGAGGGGATATTAAAAAGGCGTATGGAAAGTCGGGAAATAAAGAACAAAGAGCGAGAATTTCGCAAAGGATATTAAGACTTA